GCTCGAAACTTAAATAGAACATAAAACCTCTTTACGTAACAGCAACTACTCAGTTAGAAAGCAGTCTGACCAGGCTGTGGACACCTTCTCTTCCCCCACAGGACATGGATATTGTAGAAGGTACAAGAACATTTGTCCTTCCACACCTTCTGAGGGTTCCAAGTATATCCCTTTTCCCCTCCGAGGTGCTGAGGGAAGCAGGCTGAGCACGAGGGGAAGACGACACGAGGGGACGGGGGTGCCTGCGATGGGCTGCCCTCTGCCGAGACTCAGCAAGTAGGGCTGACGTCAACTCTCAGAAGTGGCAGCTCACGCAAGGCCCCCCACCCCACTGCAAGGCAGCAATGGCCGGGAATGAGTGACGCCGTCGGTAAGAAGCAACTGGAGGAAGTCTGGGAAAGGGAAAGACATGGGTGAAAGAGAAAATTCCAGAAGACTCGAGGTTACACAAAGAACACCCAGAGTACCTGCATGAAATATGCGAGCCTCTTTGCCTTTATAACACGCAGGCCCATTGACAGGGCCATTACAAGCCAGGATTAAAAAAAATGAGACTCCCCTCCCTCATTTATCGAATAGTAAAATCTCCCCTTTCCTTCTGATCCCCTTATCTACTTAAGTTTTTTTTTTTTTCCTGTGATAGCACTAGAGATCATAAAAACAATCTGGTATCACAGATGGCAAATCTAAAAGGTACAAATTGACACACAGGGAAATTCCCCAATTACTCTGATTAGAGTGTGTATGTGTAATTCCCTCACTCTGGAGACTAGAAATTCAGCTCCCATTTTTCAAAGCTTATAAAGACAGCATAATGCTGTCTAAATAGGCACAGAGGTGTTTATTTGAGTCTTTCCATTTCTTCATAGGAATAATGTAACTCCTGCTCTCAGAGCAGTTACTCTGAAAAGGGGTCAATAAACACAGAAAATTCAAGAAACCTTGACCCCCTGTGATCCTCAAAAGCCACATAGGATGACGCCTCCCTAAAAAAGTGTTTGTCAACTTCTCCCTGCATACCAGAGGAACGCTCGGTGGACTCAGTTTGTACCGGTGCGCTATTTTTTTTTTTAATTCCAAAGTGTGCATCAACCAAAAGAAAATGAAAATGATGCTATTCAGTAAACGGTGAGTTTCTAGGTAGCCTTGGCACTCCAAGTCCATCTGCCACTTTGAAAATAGATGTAAACATGAACAGTGATCAAGTGATAGGATTATAAGGCAACACTCCAACCCTTCACAGAATGCCAGGGCAGGCCGTTCACAAACAACCCATACAGCAAAACACTCAAATGGAAAAGGAGAGGAAATACACACAGTGTAGAATTCAAGCATCAGAAAATCCCCAAACTCTACTGCTGGTTCTATAAAACCGTTTTTTAAAAAAAAAAAAAGGTTTCCTTTCCCACATTGACTTATACACATCATAAACATTTAACATCTACTTCTAAGGAAAATACAATGAACTAGTCTCTCCATGCCTGCCTCTACCTGACCAAACTACTATGAGATTGAAGCAGCTCTCATCAGAACCATGTTTATGGTCCTTTTCTGAACGGCTTAGGCCCACACGTGAGAAGCCCGGGCATGCGTTTATTCTGCGCTTAGTTGCTCAACAAATATTTACTGAATGCCCACTACAGGACAAACAGTATTTTAGGTGTTGTGGGTTCACCAGGAATAGTGATGATGATTGTGTTATCCCTGCTTTCACGGAGCTTACAGTCTAACTGAGGAGATGGCTGATTAACAAATGCATGTGAAAAAATATGTAAGGTGCTTAAAAGAAAAATAAAGTAGGCTAGAGGACGAGAGGGGTGGGGTGGGTGTTATTTAATATAGGCCAGGGAAGGCTGCTTTAAAGAGGCAACATGGAGAAGACCTACTTAAGGAAGCTTAAGAGAAGCTTAGGAAAGAATTACAGATCGCTGCCTCCTTACCTATATACTAATATTTGAGTACAGAGGTGGACTATTTTTAAGAATTTCAAAAGTGGTTCATTTTTAATTTTCAAGAAGACCAACGAGTATGGATCCTAAATTTAAGTGACTAAAACTCTATTCTCAGAAAGCACTCAAACACCTTTCAATTGTCACATGGTCCCTGGGAGGGTCCTCTGTAAAGGGTAACGGGATGGTGACAGACATAATAATTCTTTTTTTGTTTTTTTTAACCACAAGACTGTGCTCAATGTTTTAAAAGCACTTGTAAACTGAAGTTGTACCAAATCACTGACGCTTAGAAGCCAAACGGGAAAACGAAGGTCCAGTCGGCCTCATCTAGGCTGATACTTGAAGCAATGTTAGACACCCAGAAGAATGACCAGAGCTCACTAAACTCAACTTTCTCATGTTACTCAGGATAAAATGGGTCCCCAGGGCTTTAGGGGGTCCCAGGTTATACAGGCAACTGCAGCATCATGGGTAAAACCCAGGTCTCCCGACTCCTAGGTCAGTCTTCTTGCCACTCCTCTCTGCATTAAGATACCGCACCTTAGAGCCAATCTGAGACACTTTCAGGACCAAAGTCCATCTGCTAGAAAGATAGTGGCAGATTTGAAAGGTAGTTAATGGGGCGAACAGAGGAGAACTACACGGGTAGTGAGTCTAGGGCACAGTGTGCAAGGGCTGCTGAGGATGGACACCACTAATTCCAATGGCTGCCACGATTATTACTCAAATGTTCTTCTACCCACTATCATACCCCATCTACGTGTAAGCACACATCCTTTGAAAATCTCCTGCCTTCCCGATTAAAATGGCACAGCTTTGGGGTACCCAGGACACCAAAGTAAGAGGAGACTGTGAATTCAGTGTTGTAAAAATGCACCAAGATTACAAAAGGTTACTAATTTCAAAAGTTACTGAGAAAACTGGAACCTCCCCCACCTCCCCAAGTGAACGCAATTTGGGAGAAAAAGTTTCTAGGAGTTCAAAAGAAACTAGCATTTTCTTCCTCTCTCTCAACCCACTCCATTTAAAGAAAGATTTTAAAATGACTCCAAGTTGGCCATGTGGCATCTTAAGGTTTACACTTTGGAACGTCTTTAAAAACCTCACGTCATGTTTGAGATCTGACAGGGTTATCACATAAGCAGTTCAAAGCTATGGTTTAAAGAAAAAAAAAAAAAACACCAAATTCGAAACAAAAGCTATCTTGATTATAGTAACTGCAGTGTTCTTTTAAATGTAACCTGAAACCTAAAGCACTTTTCCATAAGACACTTGTTTCCTAGGATAAAAATGCTTTAAAAAACATTACCAGAAGTGCACTCTACCAGCTGTCTGACTGGGAAAATACTTTCAAGAAAAGCACACTGCTACTGTAGCACCCAGATCCAATAGGACCCACAAATTATTCCTCAATAGTGGTAGCAACCTTTAGAATATGAGATGTTTTTTAGTAAGATTAAAGTGTGTTACAAGAGGCTCTGCTCCTTCTGGGGAGCCCACACCAAGATGACGACATCAGTAAACAAGTAGCATAGAGCAATATACAGACTCATAAACCAACACTTCATGGGGGTCAGTGACTTGCCCAAGGTTGCAGACTTACTTGACCATAGGACCAGGAATAGAATTTAGGTCAGTAATTCCAGGAGCTGTATACTTTCTACCAGAACCAATGTGATCATATGTACAAAATGAAAGCACATGAAAAAACCAGCATCTTCCACATCCATTTACTCTGAGGCACTGGGAGATTCTGAGTTCAATAAGCTTATTTTAATATGACTGTTTAACCCTCAGGAAGTATGGAGAAATATGCGTATTTAATACAAATTTTTAAAAAAACCAAGAAATAAAAATTCAGTGGAAATCTTTCTTTTCGATGCTTTTTCCCCGATATATACCCTCATATTATTGCATTTTGCTCATTCAAAATAGCTCACATAACTGAAACATATGGTAGTATATGCCTGGAAAAGTTTCTTGACCAAATTATTAAGAAGCTGAAAACTTAATATAAAGTTATTTATATATATATACACACACATATACATACATACATGTATATTATATATATAAATACATATTTGCATATATAATACATATACACACAATATATATTGTGTCTATATATATATTATATATTTAAAATATATATTTACACACACACACAAAAAAAAACCAAGTCGAAGTTGGCTCTTCATTTTCTAAAATTTGAAGGTAATATGTTCATAGGCCAGCCTGGGTTTCCTGTAGTTTTACTCTTTCCTGGTCAAAACTCTTCTAAACTTTTTTTCTTTTATGATACAGTCTAGCAATGAGGTAAAACCTCCAGAAAGCAGCAGAGCTGGGCAAACCCGTAAGTTTTGTGCTGGATGAGCTTCTCGAAGCCTATAGCGTACCTTCCCTTCAATTACTGGATCCTAAACCTCCTCATGAAAGGTGACCAGCAGCTGACACACAAAAACTACTAATCTCAAAATCCCAACCCAGTAGCCTGATAAAAAGCAATAAATCAGCCAACTTTAAGCAAGAGAAGCACCGAACAGCTGACTGTACTTGCATACCTCAGATTTTTGAAAGCCAGAAAAACATTTCATTCCAATCAAAAACTTCACATAAATAAAATAATTGCAGGGTGCAAATCCTGGTTGGGAAACCTTAGCCCGGAAGAGTTTACCTCCTACCCACAACCTAAAAGAACTGCCAGAGCCCAGTTTAAAGAGGCTGCTCTGAACCTGATACTATTAACCGCACCAGGAGAAAGGGCGTGACCGCACCAGGAGAAAAGGGCGTTCCTACACTGGAAGAGTCACTGTCTCCACACTTGATCCATAAGAAGATAATGAGCAGCGCCCCACAGAAGCTGAGAGAAAGTCAAGTTCATGGTAAACAAAAACAGAACCTCTCCCCTTAAAAAAAAAAATGAAATTAATTGGAGGATCACCTAGAGCTAATGTTAATACCACTTCAGCACCCTGGCTCCTGTATCCAATGATTCACAAATCGTTACAAGGCAAGTCGCTGCAGAAGCAAATCTTGTTAACTTACAACATTCACTGTGCACGGTTCACAGGTAGCCCCAACCTGTCCTTCACCATGGAGACTTCCCAGAAGAAGCTGGAGTGCTCCTGGGCCCAGGCGTGTTCTTTTTTCCTTTCACAGGGAAGGGAGAAGTACCTAGCATAGGGAACAGAACAAAAGAAAAAGAGAAAGGTGAATACATCGTCAAATCCCCTGTTGTCTCAACAAACGAAGTTCACGATCAATTAGACTGATGGATAATTCACCAAAGACCATTCTCCAGTATGCTTTGCTTAAAAAGGAAATGCAGTATTTTTGCTCTTGTCCCAGGAGACGGCACGGTGCGGCCAAGCCTCTCCCCCACCCCCATCCCCACCCCAAGTTGAAGCCAATTCTGGGAGACTTCAGATGGCAACCCAGCTGAGATGCACACTTGCAACACAGCCTCAAAATAAGCTACTTGAGTTTGCTCTCTTGCGAGGAGGAGGGAGCTAGAGCTATCACCTTCTGCCATTTTCATACCTCACTGGGCGGTTGGGAAGACCAGTAAGCTCACTCTGGCAAAGCACTCACAGTTCCCGAGAAGAAAGGCGCCACGTGAACACAAAGGATTATTAGTAGTCAGAAGCCTGTTACTGAGCTTGGAGCCAGAATATAAAAGCCAGCTTTGGCAAGGCACCCATAATCAACCATCCCTGGGGCACCCAAATGTCCAAATGTTTCTTCTTTCACCGAGGGGTCAAGGGAAGCAGAGGACTGGAAACAGAGGCATCTAGAATCTCAGGGAGAAGAAAAGTAAAGGCCTGGATTAGGAAGTGAACAGGAAAAGGAGATGAAAACTGGTGAGAGAGGCATGTGCAGGAACATGATGATTTGGTCCACACCCCTCCCTCGGATTGCTGTTCTGCGGTGTTGAGTGCACTGGACATTTGCAGGGCTGTGAAATTTTCCACTTGGCCATTTGCCATTTCCACCCACCGAAGTGGCACATTGAGGCCCTGATGGAAAAGGACTGGGTGATTTTTCTTTGTATGTTGCTTTTAAAGAAAAGACCTATTCATATCCTGATTAAGTTTACTCTCAATATCTCATTAATAATTTCCACACCTGGGTTTCTTGATTTTTTTTTTTTTCCCCCTCCTGTAAGACAGGGCCAGGAAAAACTTTTCCTGGGCCAATATTATCAAGGTATTTGGACTTGTGTACTTTTGAGGAGCATGCTTGAGGTATGGAAGCTTACTGGAGTGGCTTTGGGGATGACAAGAAACAGAATTTAAATGCTACGCTGGAATCTTGTTTGCTTCCCAAATAAATCATCCACAAGTACCAGTCATGTTTTTCTTTCAAAGTCATAAGCGTACATTGAACAAAAATGGGAATCCCAGAATTAGCACTGTGGGTATAGGAATATTTTCGATGGAAAAATGTGATCTCTTATCTCAAAAACAGGCAAGAATGAATAATATCAAATCTTAGATTTGGAACTGGCAAAAAACTGACAAGTAGACCTCAAAATAAAGAATTTTTTAAAATGCAGAGAAAAAATTAGGACGAAAGGGAGAAAGGTGTCTGCTATTAATACAATTAACCATGACTTTTATAGTGATTTCAGTTTATAAAGTGTTTTTTAATCGAGGTATAACTGACATAAAACATATTAGTTTCAAGTGTACAAACTGCTTTCTTTTTCATTCATTCACTGGACACATTTTTACTTGGTGCTTACTATATCCACCAGGTTCTATGTTCATAATGGTGAACAAAACAGACAGAGGACTGTGCCTTTAAGAAGCTCATTGCTGCAAGAGGAACAGATATTAAAGAATCAGAGTATACTATTTTTAATATTTGCATAAAATTCGAAAAGCAGATAGGCATTAAGAAGGACAAATAAACACTGTGATTTGCAATCATCCCATAATGGGGTAACGTCACTTAGAAGAAAGGTCTTTCTTACAAAAGTAACACTTCAACAGGGAAGTAAACGATGAGCGAGAGTTAACCAGTCATCAAGTTTCCGGGCAGAGGAAAGAGCCTCTGCATTATGTGCGCTGACTAGACCTGTACAATTAATTTCTGTTATTTCATCTTTTTCCCCTGACTTTTTTTTTTTCAATTGGGTCTTCTTGATCAAGAAATGAACAACAGAACTGTTCTCAATACCCTGAAATAAGAAATGATTCTTCTTTCCAACTACTGGGCCATCGGAGCAACAAACTAGTAATTTCTGCTAGAGGAACATTATTCAGTGCAGGCATTACACTTGATGTGACAGAAAAGGAAGACTCTAGCTTCCTAATTCATCAAAAATAACCCCATCATCACAATGAAATAAAACGAAGCTTCCTCTTAAAACCCTCCCCTAAAAGGGCTAAAACCAGATCATATTACATGTAAACTTCTAAAAACAAAAAACAAAACAAAAAAAACCCACTTCTTAGTACCTTCTATTAGGTTCCAAATTCGCTGGCTTCCTCTTGACTATTAGGATGTTTTTATTATTTCTCTCCTGGACCGAAATGGTATTTTTCCTCACTTTCTAGAGTGTCCTGTGCACCTTCGCTTTGGTTCTTGGTTTGGTATCTATTTACCCAGGTAAGCAGCATGATGCACAGAAATAAAAAGCGACGGAAATGTTGTGTTCATCTGAACTGTCTTCTTGTTCCCTACCATCCCAGAGCTGGTACAACTTAATTTTTCCACTAAGGAAAATCAGGAATTTGCTTTCTTCATCCTACAAAACGAAGGCATCCTCAGACAGGCTCATTCATGTTCTCCTGTGAATGGAGTAAGTTTGAAAGTCTGTTTGAAATGAATATGCCAAACTTCCATTTGAGCCTGTTTACATTTAAGACACCGGATAAAATGTAGTATCTCCTACATATTTGGTTCCTCATATAACTGCCAAAATATTAATAATCCTCCAAGTTCAAAGTCGTGAAATCCAAACCCTCACTTTGACTTAGGAGTTCTGACAAGCTTTAGCAAACTCAGGAAGAAAGAGCAAGAAGAAAAACTTTTTGAAGCCAAGTTGTCCAAAACCCTGCCATGAGACCTGGGAAATTATGCCAGGCTGACAGTTGCATCCTCCGTCCAGAGATGAAAGTGACACAACGCCAATTACTCCTTCCCCTGACTGCCCACAGCACTTACAGCCTTTAGCGAGCATTCTGACCCGAGGTTCTTTTCAATTCAGCACTGTTAAATAAATCCAGCGAAGTATAAAAAGACAATGTAGGCCTTGAAAGGCTCCAAAAGCTTACAAGCTCCTTGATGAAAGAAACCTTGCCATGCCCTTCTTTTGCAGCCTCCTGGTAGTGTTGAGTAGAAGAGCGGGCACTTAAATTAAATGATCCATATCCCAAACCAGTTCTACGACTTAACCTTTATGCCAAAAGAAGCACTACTCTACAGCTATAATTTAAGCCCTTCTCACTTTTCTGCCCTCCAGGGACTTGGAGGTCCTACATGCCTATCATCCGAATGAAAGTCCTGCATGAACTCGAGAACAATTAAGTTATAACTTACCCTTCTCTCTCCTGTTCTTCCAATCCATTATATTTTTGGTCACTAATGGCTTTTGAGCAGTTGCCATCTCCTTTCAAGATTTACAACCCCTCCCCCCATCACCAGGAGCCTTTATCCTCGATTCTCCTAGCTTTTCAAAAGCCACCATTAAGGAAACCCTCGTGGTACGTGGAGGAGAGATGTGGATGCTCTGAGGCAGTGGCTCTCAAACCTGAACCGTCATCAAAAACACCTGGAGGTCTTGTGAAACCATGTTGCTGGGTCCCACCCCCAGAATTTCTGATCTAGGAGGTCTGAGGCGAGGCCAAAGAACTTGCACTTTTAACAGGTTCCCAGGTGATGCTGAGGCTTCTGGTCCAGGGACCACACTTTGGGAACCACTGCTCTAAGTGTAAAGTCTTTCTGTCAATTACATGGCCAGACAGAGGCTAAGGATCTTGAGTATATTTAATCACTTTAAGATGGGTACATTAGAATAAACAGGTATCATTCCTTCCAAAGAAGTGACAAATGACCAAACAACCCAAAAAGCCCACACCACTTTATAATCTGTGAAAACTCTTTGGGGCTCTTAGTCTGTCTCCTACTGGCTCCAAGTCCTGTTGGGGTCAATTCTGCCCTCTGTCTCTCCTACAATCTTTTCACCCCCTCTACCAGAAACTTCTTTGCAGCCTAAAACGTAATCATTGCTATCCCTGAAAGATCTTCCCCAGACCCTAATACATTCCCAAATGGCTGTCACCGCTCCCCTGTTCACCATAAAACATGTTAAAGTGTAGTATAAATTCAACACTGTATCTCATCGGGTACCTCTTAAAGCCCTTAGAGTTTGATTTCAACACTTTTTTTTTTTTTTAAGTAAACTTCCTTCTCTTTTAAAGGCCAGGGATGGCTCCCTGTCTTCTAAATGTAGTGGCCTTTTCCTAACTGACTCTCCTAGAATACTTGATAAGGTAGTTCCTTAAATTTTCTTTTTATTTAGTGAACTAGCATTTTTGCCTGGACAGCATCTTTCTGGAATGACCTCTCCCCCATTTTCTTTGTTACTTGGGCTGGGTTGACCTCATGCCTTGGGCCCAAAGATGGGCATATGCAAACTATTATATATAGGATGGATAAACAACAAGGTCCTACTGTACAGCACAGGGAACTATATTCAATATCGTGTGATAAACCGTAATGGAAAAGAATATAAAAAGAGCATGTACGTATAACTGAGTAACTTTGCCACACAGCAGAAATCAACACAACATAATGAATCAATTATACTTCAATAAAACTTTAAAAATAAATAAAGATGGGCATATGATCTAGGCTTGGAGAATCAGAATACATATCCCTCTTGCCATGATGACAGGATGTAGGGATGGGCACGTAACCAAAGCCACACCAATCAAAGGCCTCTCTCAGACTGGCTGGAACTAAGAGGAATGAGATGCCCTCTCCATGGAAGCATGGAGAGCCTCAGAGCTATTTTTACCACCTTGTGAGGAAAGTCCACGTGAGGGTGAAGCTCTGCAGCAGGGAATGAGGCTGAAAGACAGAACGTCTGAGTCCTGATGACAGTGAGGTCCCTTGGATGCAGCCATGCCAAAAGTTACATTCATTCCTGTATTTTTTAGTTACAC